CGCCCGTGCCGTGCCACGGGGGAGCCTCAGTCTGCAGCTGTGCTGCCGGCCCCGGTGTCCTCCCCGCTCTCCTGCTCCGTTACCTCTTGGAACCTTTTTTCCAGCAGGATTGGTTTAGAACTCGGTTTTTGTTTTCCCTCTTATCCTTCCCCAAAGAGCGCGTTGGGTGCGCGGGAAGGTTTGGTCCTGCCGAGTGAACGGGTACCCGCAGCGGTTTGCGGGCACGCGTGGGTGTTCCCGCTGCGACACGACGCCCCAGAACTACAAACAGCCGGGCGATAAACCTGCCATCCCGGGCTTGGCCGACCCCATGGGGCGAGGGAGCTGCTCAGGCCAGGGAACGCTCCCCGTGCTCGGATGTGCGTCTGCACCGCGGGATTCTCGGAGGTGGAGCAGCGCGTGCGGAGGAGGGAACCTCGGTTCCGGGGCTGTGGGAGAGCGCGGGGCGGAGCACACCCCTTTCCGGCTGGCCGTGAGGTTTCCGGGGCAGGCGTCGGAAGTTGCCTTGGGGAGCGGAAATGAAACGCTGCGAAAGAATTCCCGGGGGTGTTCCTTAACCCAGCTGGTTTACTGGTCTTCCAAAATAATCGCTTTAAGTTGTGGCAAAGGGAATGCGTTTTCTTCTTCCTTCCAAGGAGCTGCTGTTCCAGTCACTGCGCTCACTTTACTGCAATTCCTGATCCCTGTATTGAAACGATTTTTTCCAAAACCCTCTGGATATTCCTGTGCTGGAAACCCACCTGATGCCCACGGCAACCGCCTAGTTGTTTGTCCGTGTACTTGGGTTGTAATCCACGTGCGGGTGACGGCGTTATTTAACCTGTGTTAACAGATTTCCTGTAATGCTGCAGTTTCACGTTGATTTTTCCTTACGATTTGTAGTTCCATGGAAACAAGGTCACTTTTTTTGCATTTGACTAGGTGTCTGGTCCATGTTTTAAACTTCACTAATAGGAATTTTTGGTTGTATCATTTGTTAGAATAAAGACCAAACTACACTCCTTGATTCCAAAATGCTTCCCAGCTCTGACTCCTGTTGCAGCACGGAGGGATCCACATCCGCACTGGGGACGGGCCCACGTGGCTACGGTCCGTGGGAGTGGTGTTGCTCATCTCAGACCGCTCTCTACCCTGGCAAAGCTCCGGCTTTTCCTGGGCGTGGTGGAAGGACACGGAGAGCGGCTGCGGCATTTCCCTAAGCCTCAGGCACCGGAACTTCCTGAGCAGCCTCCTGGGAGAGGAGAGCTGGGAGTTGGCCGGGCTGCACGGTAACTACGGGAGTTCCGTCTCCTACGCCCAGAACGGCGCTCGCGTAAGTGCCGAGGGGTGGAGGCTGAACATCTTGGGGCGGGTTGGGGAGCAAAACCTCGATGTCTGAAGCTTCATTTTGCCTCGTAGGTGGTTTTTCAGGGTGTAGGTTGGGTTTCTCTGTTTACAGTTGCTTGTCTGCCCTCCGGCAAGCACCAGGTCTGGTGAGTGAGATCTGGGCCTCCCCCTACAGCCAAGGCCTTGCTGCTCTGCAGGCCCCAGCCAGGGGCAGCTGTTTTGAGTCCTGAAGCCACTCCCCAGCGCAGCTCAGCAATGCCCAGGCTCGCCCCGAACAGCCCCGGGTACGAAGCCCGTGTACCTCTACACGCGGCACGTGTGGGCTAAACCCACCCCCTCCCTTCGCACTGGGCTCCGGGCGGTTGGGAGGGACCCAACCAAGTGACTTGGCCCCTGATCTGCCACCTCCAGCTCAACGCCCTGAGCAGGTCCTTCGGTGTGGCCCGGGGATGACTCCCCCAACGAGGAGACCGAAGGACTGAGGAGGTTTACTACAAAACTGGGTTTATGTTCTTGCGCTTCACCTACCGACACCTCGATGGCAACGGGGAAGGCACCTCTGTGCAGACACCCTGCGCCTCAGCCCGTTTGGCAAGAACTACCCCTCTCCTTACCAGGCGAGACGCACCTCTCCCTGCTCACAAAACACTCCGCCGTTGGTAAAAATCTACACTTCTACAGAAGCGACACTGCCCAGTGCCTGAAGGGCAAGTTCCGCTTTGCCAGGGGCAGAAGCTGCCCTGGGACTCACCCGGCTGAGGAGCCTTGAGCAGCGCTGCAGGGTCTCCCTGAAACCAGCTGACACCAACCCCCTCCAGAGCGCTCGCCGCTTCCCGCTTCGGCCACTCCCAGCCCGGAGCTGAACATTCCTATTGCAATGAAAATACAAGACATTTCTTGCAAATCTTGGGGTGTTTTTAAGAAGTGCTTGTCCCACACTTCCTCCCGAGGTAAGCCCCATTCCCTTCACTCCACCCAGGAGAATTCCAAACGCAGCACCAGCCCCGAGCTAAGCGGGCAGGCGCCACGGCTCCGTCACCACGCTCCGTTCCAGAGGAGAGAAAGAGCATTAAACCCCCTTATCACGGGCAGGTGAAGAGAAGCATACACCCCAGCCAAAGGAGGCGACGCTCCATCCTCTAAAAATAAATAAATCCAGTAAATAAATCCCAGCAGAGTGTTGTAGGAACGTGAGTAGAAGTTTAAGGGTTTTATTATCAAAGTTCTGTAAAACAATTTCAGAAACTGTACATCGACATGGCACAGACTGTAGCCTACTTTTGTCTTTTTACCTGCACAAAAGTAAAAGCTCTTCAACTTCTGGAACTAAGAGAACAGCTTGTCTAACTACTCTGCGTATAACACGGGATCACCGGGTGCGGAAGTACTACTGCAGTGACAGTAAACACAAAGTCCTTAGTTTATACAACTTGAGATCAAGTAAAAAGTACATTGTCAAGTAGACGCGCTCTTAAAAGCCTCCCAAGGCCAACTTTAAAATGCACTGCACCCCCGGCAACGGCCGAGCTCGTCAGGTAAAACGCCCCGGAGCTGCGCACCTCGGCCTTCAGCCGCCGGGCACTGACCGAGCCTTCCCCCGGCGCCAGGAGGAGCGTGAAGAACCGCAGCGCCGGGCCCGAGACGGATCCGAACGGACAGACTTAAACAAACCAAAAGAAGCCCTCGAAAAGGTCAGTGCATTTTAATTTTGTCCAAGCCAAACAAAACCCACCGGGAAAAAAACCAAACCCGAAACAACACAACCCCAGCCACGTGGCTTAAAGAAACAAAATAAAACCAACCCCAAAATCTACTTCTAGCCGAACGCTCGTCTCCAGACGCACGGCCCAGTTTTTCTGTGTCGTCACGCTCCAGGCGGATCCGCCGTCGGAAGGCCGAGGGTGGCTCCGCCGCGGTCAGCGCATTGCCTACACTGCTCTAGTACTGCGCCCCGTCGGAGCCTAGGAACACTATCAGAAGTGAGCTGTTTACTACGGGAGATCGTACAACAAACAGTCCATGCCTGCTGTAGATGCATGCAGCTTTTTACTTTTGCCTGAAGCATCACCAAGTTAGTGGGAACGGCTTGGCTACGCCATCCCTCTGGGCCGTAAGGAGAACGGTTACCCTCCCGGGAAGCTTTGGGTGTGAGTTAGTATCAGATTTACAAACCATGGAGAGTTCAGAGCTGTATACACCGAGATTGAGGATTAACAAGTACAGCATAAAAGAATCACACAGGAATGACACCGATGCACGTCTGCAGCCGCCTTCGCTGCACAGGCCACCTCAGTCGCTCATATCCATGTCCTCTTCGTGATGATCATCCCCATTCACCTTGGACTCCCGCGCCGGGTCGCCGCTTCCCTTCTCGGCCGCCGCCTCCTTTACCTTGGGGGAGGAAGAATCGGCCGCTTTCTTTTCCTCCTTCTTCTCCTTCTCGCTGTCGTATCCCTGTTCCTCTTCGTCGTAATCCCTTGTGACCTGCTTTGCCGAGAGAAAAAAAAAGCAGAGTAAAAACTTGCCTTCCAAGGCCCCGGCGGGTTCAGGCTGAGGCCGCGCCCCAGGCAGCGGGGCCGGGCTGGTTTTTAAACATACTTTCACATCCTTATCGCTCTCCGATTTCCGTTCTCGATCCTTTTCCTTGTCTTTGCTTTTTTTTTTCTTGCTCGTCGACCGCTCCCGCTCATCTCTACCTCTCTCCTTGTCTTTATCCTTCTTCTTTTCCTTTTTATGCCTACAAGGGTAATGCAGAGTTAAACCCGCAATCGCAGCCACCCCCCACCGCAACGGCACACGTCCAGAGCGTCACCCCAAAGGGAGAGATGGTGGGGTGCCGCTACGACAGGCCGCGCGCTCTCAGCCAACATTTTTTTTCGAGGCCTAAGCAGCAGGGACAGCAACGCCGCGGTGTTCAGTGAGGGAGTGCCTCGCGCCCCCCGCTTCGGGAGAGCGTCACGCAAAGCCCGGGCCCACCCCAAAGTCAGTTGGCTCCCACTACAGAGCCGAAGGGGCTGGAACTCGGG